TGCGCGTGCGCGTGCGCGTGCGCGTGCGCGTGCGCGTGCGCGGGTGGGTGGGTGGGTGGGTGTGTGTGTGTGGGTGTGCGTGTGCGTGTGCGTGTGCGTGTGCGTGTGCGTGTGCGTGGGCGTGCGTGTGCGTGCGCGCGCACGTGCGTGCGCGTGTTCGTGCGGGTGTGTGCGGGTGCGTGCGTGCGCGTGCGTGCGCGTGCGTGCGCGTGCGTGCGCGTGTGCGTGTGTGCGTGTGTGCGTGTGTGCGTGTGTGCGTGTGCGTGTGTGTTTGTGTGTTTGCGTGTTTTGTGTGTGGGTGTGGGTGTGTGTGGGTGTGGGTGTGGGTGGGTGGGTGTGTGTATGGGTGCGTGTGGGTGCGAATGTGCGCGTGGGTGCGTGTGGGTGGGGGTGTGCGTGTGTGCGCGTGGGTGCGTGTGTGCGCGTGGGTGCTTTTGTGCGCGGGTGCGTGGGTGGGTTCTGGGTGCGTGGGTGGCGTGGGTGGCGTGGGTGGCGTGGGTGCGTGGGTGGTGCGGTGGCGTGGCTGGCGGGATGGCCGGGTGGCGGCCTGTGGCGGGCTGTGGCGGGCTGTGGCGGGCTGCAATTCCCTAAGTCCCGGAAAAAACCCTTAAGTCCGGCAAAAATCCTTAATTCCAGAAAAATCCTTAATTCCTTCCCGCCAAATTGTTTTAAGTCTGGAGAAAAAAAATAATTCTGGAAAACATCCTTAATTCCGGATTAATTAGCTTAAATTCAGGGGGGGGGACTTAAGGATATTTGCCTTTGCCCGAGATGAAGTTCGAGGTGAAATTAGTGTTTTTCATTGCCAAAATAACTTTTTGTAGCTTGAAAAAACACTAATTTCACCCCGAACTTCATCTCGGCGGGCAAAGGCAAAAATCCTTAAGTTCCCCCCCCCCCGAACTTAAGCAAATTAATCCGGAATTAAGTTTTTGTTTCCGGAAAATTTTCCGTTGGCGGGAATGAAGGATTTTTCCGGACTTAAGGATTTTTTTCCGGGACTTGAGGAATTTTGGCTGCACTTAAGGAATTTTGGCTGCACCTAATGAAATTTGGCTGTACTTAAGGAACTTTGGCTGCACCGAACATTTCCAGGAAATGTTGGCTGCACTTAAGAACTTTGGCTGCACTTAAGGAATTTTGGCTGCCAGCTAATTAGCTTAAATTCGGGGGGGGTGCACTAAAGGAACTTTGGCCGCACATGAGGAATTTCCGGCCGCACTCAACGAAATTTGGCTGCACTAACATTCTTGGCTGGCCGTGCTTATGGAATGTGGCCCGGTGATCAAGGCAGGAGCTCCCCCTTGATTACTAGCTGACCTGACTACAGCACCATCTCCATATGCTTAGCGCTGAACTGGGCCCCATTCTCACGGCCTTCACTCTAAGCTAAAAATTATCAACCATCATCCATGCATTCCCACTAATCCTTGCCATCGCTCCCCATTTCCCATTTGGCAATATGTGCCACCACGGCGCAAAAACAACAACATTGTGCACTTCTGACATGCGACGTGATTGATTGCGACACGGCTCGGTCCCACCATGCTAAGGTTGCTCAATGTTTCAACAAAAACTGCTCTTGTCACACACACAAATTCTGAAAATCAGCAAAGTTGCGTGGTTTCAGCAAACGGGCCGACTCTTAAGTACACGGGCCCCCTTAAATCCATATTGTTTAAGGATTTCTTGACTCAGCGATTTTGCCCCCCCGGGTAATTCAGCATTTTTGTAAACAAAACAGAAGCGCAACACAGTGACCCCACGGGATTTGACAGGCTGCCCTTCCAGTCTTGAATTGCTTTGACGAAGGCGTTTGCATCCATTGTTGCTGCCAAATGCACTTTCTATAGCGCAGCCGGTTTTTGCATTGTTTCACGAGTGCCCAAAAACAAAAACAAACATTCAATCGTGCCCCGGTTCTGACATGTGCTCCGATCAGAGGTGCGGACACAGGAGCAGAGCTTAAGTGCACGGGTCGGACCTCGAAATTAGCTTAAATCCATAATTTTGAAAAACCCACAGTGTGTGTGTGTGTGTGTGTGTTTGTGTGTGTGTGTGTGTTTTTGTTTGCGTGTGTGTGTGTGCGTGTGTGTTTGTATTGGTTAGTTAAGTCTAATCGGGTTGTAGGTATTGGGGACCTGTTGTTCATGGTTTGTTATCCTGACTTCATGTTGCGCTCCACTAATTTAACATGTGTAGGTAGGTAGATGCATCATTATCATGTCTGAGCACGGTGGTTGAAAGTCCAATTTGGGATAATGTCTTCCATGTCAAGGTTCAAAACTTTCATCAGGGTTGAAAACGTGTTGGGTCTTTGTTGCGCACGGGCCACGTTATGTGTCGTCCGCGCTTGGGGATCAACATGCCAAGCACTTGCAAGTCATGACGGATGACATTCATGGAAGCAACCCATTCAAAATTTATGCAGCATGGGGCGCATCAACTTTTGCAACTTGCAAACTCGGAACGCACTTCTAGACCCGGCAACAATTGTGCCATGGCGTCGGCGCGTCATCGCTCATGCTGGCTCTTTTCGTGGCTGGTTCTTTTGTTGCTGCATCTTCAGTGCTCGACTTTCCTATCCTGGCCGAAAGCAGTGCGACGCGCAACTGAATTACGAGCCGCTGCCGACGAGCGCTGGTGGTGTGTAGCAGGAGGCGTTAAGAGCAAACTGCGACAGGCCTTTTGCAGCAAGATGCAAACTGATGACGTGCCTTTACTGGCTGATTTTGACACTTACGCTACTTCCTTGCCGGTGCGTGAGGTTGATTGTGGCGTACCAATTAAGCTGTTCGAGACGCCTTTCTATGTGACTGACAGGGGCATGAACGAGTTTGCAGAGCGTATTAGCAGCCGTGCGGCGGTTATTCGCAGCAGGGTTGCCTATGTGGCGGCTGCTGGTGGCTCTGGCAAGTCCTCTTCGGTGCTTCCAGGCTTCTTGCAAAGCATAGACATGGGGACTGGCCTCAACTTCACGCACTACGTTTACATGCCCTTCCACAACAACGACGGAAATAACCACAGGAAGGTGACAGTGCCTGCCGATTCTGGCGAGGACTTCCGCCGCGACCTCGGCGCCGCGTACATGCGAGACTGTTTCCGTGCACAGGCGCAGTGTTTTGGCCAAACTCTTGTTGGAAACCCAATAGTTCCATATTCCATGTTCCATCTTTCTTGCAAAACATGTACGCAGGCATTCAGGTTGGTAGGTTTGTGCTACGGGAAATTCGATCAGGCATTTAGAGCACTAATTTGTCAAGCGCCCTTCGATCAGGCATTTGGAAGTCCAAGCTCTTATGGTAGGTGTGTAATGTGTGAAATTTGGTCAGGCATTTGAAACACCCGGCGCACTTGGCAGCGAGACCTACATACAAATTTGGGAGCTTCCAGTCAGGTCAAGCAGGTTCCGCTTGTTGCCGAGATTTTGGCGCGCGAGACTTGGCACTTTTCGACAAACTCAAGCCCTGCTGGCTGAAGATGTGCGACGCTTTATGAAGCGCAGTCCAGATGGAGTGCTCCTGCTGCATATAGACGAGCACCTCAAGATGTGCGAGGATGTCGAGTTCCGCAAGGGAGCGATGGCAGTCATGGCCTCGTTGCCTCAAGCGCGAGTCGTGGCCACCTTTACCGATATCATCCCGCAGCCCGCCGTGGGCTCGGAGACCTGCCGCTCTCCCGTGGCCAAGCTTTGTTTGGATGTGAAGACGGTGACGGAACGACTGCCGAGATTGAAAGTGCCCATGGCCGAGACTGCAGATGAACGGCGGCTGCTCGCATCCCTTCGGGTCTCGCTGGGCCTGGCCTTGTCCAATCTTGGCCTTGCTGGCCTTCATGTGAAAGATGAGCGTTTGGAAGCCTTTCTGGACAGATTTGAGTGCTTGGCCAAGACGGGCGACAAGGACGAGGTCTACAGGAAGTGCATCCAGCACTGCAGCGAGCAGTGGATGCAAAAAGGTCCCAGGGAGTGCCGGCATTTGGTCGACCTCTTTTGCGGGATCGAAGAATCTGATGAGAGAGTCCAGGAGCAGCGATATCCTGCGGTGGTTTCGCTAGAAGACACGCTGACGGCGCCTTTGGAGGTGCTCCTTCGAGATGCAGATCCGGATGACCCAGCTCGACTTTTGTACAATCATTGCCGGAGCCTGTTCAAGAAATCGCTGGGCATTACAGATTGGGCATCAGGTTCCGTGCTGGAACGCGCTTATTTATGGGCATTGGCCTGCAAGTTCACCAGACGCACCCCAACACCATTTGGCGATTTTGAGTGTCAATTTGTGTGTGAGCAGGTCGCCGCAGCACGAATCTTCAAAGGCAGGACCCTCATGCCAGACAATGTTCAGGCCCTGAAGAAGAACACCCTGTACTGCGCGAATGAGCAGAAGAAGTCCCACCCGTTTGCAGATATGTGGTTTTTGTCTCCAGACAACGTTCTTTTTTTGCTGGAGGTTGGGGGCACGAGCGGCATGGATGAGGCAAACAAGAAGGTCACAATGCTCAAGATTGTATTGGAAGAGCAGGACTTCAACTCCCTCAACATTGACGGTGTTGTCGCCATCGTGCTGCTCCCGAACATCATGGACAAGCTCAGCTCCGACAAGGACGTGTTAGCCATTACCGGAAGTCAAGCACAGAAGTTGCTTGGAGGTCTCGTTCAAGTCCTGGACTGGCTGTGAAATATAATGAGCATGCTTGGCGCAATGGTTAACTCGAGAAGAGCGATTGCATGATATCTACACTTCCTACGGTCATTGCAGCGTGTGTACGGTAAACGCATCAGGACGCATTCAGCACTTCCTGAACATGGGGACCTTAAGAGCTATGCCTTCAAAGCGTTCGAAGAAGTCTTTGTACGAATGTCGATGCGCCGACCATCTTGGTTGAATCGCAGAACGAGTAAATCTGCTGGCGCTCGGTGGTTTCCCACGTCGCCCGAAAGAGAGATAGATAGATGCCCATCACAGGATAACCTCGCTCCCTGAGTTCCGGGGAAGACCATGTTAGTGGCAAACAAGCAGTTTGGACTTTTGGCCAACCCAAGCAGGAAGTGACAAGTTGCCAAGGGGGCCAAATCCTGAAAAGGCTCGGCAGTTGTGCCTTCAAGGCTGGCATGCGTTGGGGTTTAAGTCAACCGTGCAGTCTTGGTCTAGCGATTGCTTCAGTGGATGGCTTCACAATGCTTCACATCAAGGTAGCTCGCAAAAAGTTACTTGGAATTGGATATGTTCCGGCCTGAAAAGGCAGTTATGATTGTCCTTTGGCGCAAGCTGGTTCCTCTTTGCTGGTACGCATCTAGGTTGTTTTGAGGGCAAGCTTGCGACAGTTTGTGCCAGCTTGCGTCGCCGTGCATCGAATTTGGCAACGTCGTCAAGTCGGGCGTGCAGTCTTGGTCTAGCATTTGCTTCAGTGGTTGACTTCACATCAAGGTAGCTCGCAAGAGGTTACTTGGAATGAGATGTTCGGGCTTGAAAAGGCTTAGATTCAACTCAAGGATGCAGTCTTGGTCTAGACTTTGTTTTTGTGGCTTGAAAGAGGTTGCTTAGCATGGGATATGCTCAGGCTTGAAGAAAAGTACGGACCGTACGTTGAATGTCATAAGGAGCACGATGTTGTCCTGACTTGAGCAAAGCACGGAGCCGTTGGACCCAGCCAGCTTAGCTGCGCCCAGAACGCTGCGGCAAGCTGCAGCTTTAGACTGCTTCTGCGGCTGGCAGACGCAGTGCTCGCTCGCGCCTTTTGAGTGGGACGTTGCGGACAAGTGAAACTAAGCAGAACAAGCTGGCGAAAGGTGTGCTTCTGATTCAAGGAGCGATTGCTGCGAGTGTTGCGCTCGGGTCCCAGTGCATACAGTACTTCAGTTGCTACTTGTTTTAGAGAGGCGGGGGCTGCCGATGTATTTTTTGAGTGAGAAGTAGGCGCTTCTGCAGAAACTTGAGCCAAGCACAGTGAAGTTGGACCCCGGCTTGGTAGTGCCCAGAACGCTGCGGCAAGCAGCAGCTTCAGACTGCTTCCGTGTTTGGAAGATGCGGCGTTCACACCTTCTGAGTTGGACACCTTGTTTTGCCGCACCGGCGCGGCAGCAACTTCTCAGCAACTGTGCTTTCAAGGCTGGCGCGCGCCAGGACTCGCTTCAGGCATGGCAAGAGGTTGCTTAGAACGGAATAGGTTCGGGCTTTTGAAGGAGCAATATTAGATGTGACTAGAAAAAAACAAAAAAACAAAAACATGATGTTGTCTTGCCTAGAGCAAAGCACGGAGCCTGTGGACAGCTTAGCTGCGCCCAGAACGCTGCGGCAAGCTGCAGCTTTAGACTGCTTTTGTGGTTGGCAGACGCAGTGCTCGCGCCTTTTGAGTGGGACGACTTGCCTTGCAGCAACGGCAGAGCAGCAACCTTCCAACAATGATTCCGTCAAGGCTGGCACGCGTTGGGTTTCAACTGAATCAAGCAGTCTTGGTTTGGCATGTGCTTCAGTGGCTGGATTTACAGCAAGGTAGGTCGCAAAAAGTTGTTTGCTTCTGCGAAAAAATGCTGAGGTTCTGTGCCCACCAAAAAATGTGACTTCGGGCAAGCGCACGTTCAGCTGCTTGCAACTCGCAAATTCAGGGCGGCGCAAAGGCGGCGTGCAAGATGGGGCACGCAAGCAACAATAGTTGCGTATGCCACACCCCTCGCCCAAATACCAGCGCGTCAAAAGCCAAAGCAGCACAAGCCGCCACGCAGCAGTTCATATCGCTTTGCCTGCAGCGTTGCGGACAAGTGAAACTAAGCAGAACAAGCTGGCGAAAGGTGTGCTTCTGATTCAAGGAGCAATTGCTTGCGAGTGTTGCGCTCGGGTCCCAGTGCATACAGTACTTCAGTTGCTACTTGTTTTAGAGAGGTGGGGGCCGCCGATGTATTTTTGAGTGGAGAAGTAGGCGCTTCTGCAGAAACTTGAGCCAAGCACGGTGCCGTTGGACCCCGGCTTGGCTGCGCCCAGAACGCTGCGGCAAGCAGCAGCTTCAGACTGCTTCCGTGTTTGGCAGATGCGGCGTTCACACCTTCTGAGTTGGACACCTTGTCTTGCCGCACCGGCGCGGCAGCAACTTCTCAGCAACTGTGCTTTCAAGGCTCAGGGCTGGCTTCAGGCACGCGGTGTTGGTCTAGCACTTGCTTCTTAGGCTGGCTTTGCTGGCAAGAGGTTGCTTAGAATGGAAGAGGTTCAGGATCGAAGGAGCAATGGTGAGGAGAATGATGTTGTCTTGACTTGAGCAAAGCACGGAGCCGTTGGACCCAACCAGCTTGGTTGTGCTAAGAACGCTGCGGCAAGCTGCAGCTTTAGACTGCTTCTGCGGTTGGCAGATATAGTGCTCGCACCTTCTGAGTTGGACGACTTGCTTAGCACCGGCAGAGCAGCAACTTCCCATCCATGAAGCCTTGACAATGAAGCCGTCTTGGTCTAGCATTTGTTTTAGTCTTCAAGGTAGCCCGCAAGAGGATGGACTAGGATATGTTCATGCTTGCTGGATGAGTGTTGGATGGCACCACGAGGGGCATCATGCTGCCTTGAGCAAAGCATGGAGCCGTTGGACCCAGCCAGCTCGGCTCTGCCCACAGCTTTGTAGCAAGCTGTTCCCTCGAACTGCAGCTGCAGCTGCTAGGCGCGGGACGGCCGGCCTGCGCCTGCGCAGAGGTTTTGAGTCGGGTGGTTTCTTTGCGCCGGCAGCACCGCAACTTCCCAAGAGTGCTGTCAAGGCTGGCATGCGTCGGATTCAATGCGAGGAGGCAGTCTGGCTGCAGCATTTTCTTCATTCTGCGGCTGGCTTCCTTCCAAGGTCGGTCGCAAGAGGTTGCTTGGAATGGGATGTGCTCAATCCCGTTACTTGCTGCCTATGCTGGGGCCCCGTCCCCACCCAACATTGTCAGTAGGAAAACGCGCGTTCAACTGCTTGCAACTCGCAAATCCGGACAGGGGGCGCGAAAGGCGACGTGCAAGATGGGGCCACCATCCAACACGCATCCAGAAAGCATAAACAAATCCTATTCGAAGCATTTGTTCCCAGCCATTCAAGCAAATGTGACAAAGACTGCATCCTGGAAGCACATCCCAACAAGCGCCAGCATAGAAGCAGCATAGCGGGAAGTTGCGACTCTGGCGCTGCAAGATGAGGCGATGCTGAAGCATCCGAAGCGATACGAACTCCTGCGTGGCAGCTTGTACTTCAACACCCAACATTTCGCTGGTCTGTGGTACAGATCTACAGAGGCCAAAGGGTGATCGCGGCACGCGCCTAGATTCCTCTTTGCGGAGGGGCATCATGTTGCCTTGAGAAAAGCATGGAGCCACTGGACCCAGCCAGCTCGGCTCTGCCCACAGCCTCGTGGCAAGCTGTTCCCTCGAACTGAAGCAGCTGCTCACACTGGCCTTGCGCGCGCAGACCTTGGACGATTCGGCTTGCCGTCAGGGCCGCAGCTTTCCGGCAATCCCGATTTCAAGGCTGGTGCTCGTGTTTGATTTACTTCAAAGATTGTCAGTGGAGCATTTGCTTTAGCTGGCTTCACACCAAGGTAGCTCGCAAGCTGCCTCTGCCAAACATGCTGGGGCCCCGCACCCGCCTCCCACTGAAAACGGTGGTTAGCGGGAAAGCGCGCGTTCAACTTCACTCGCAAATCAGGACAGGCCGGCGCATCGCCTAAGACAAACGGGATTAAGCAGCACAAGCTTGCGAAGGGTGTGTTCTTGATTGAAGGAGTGGTTGTTTGCGATTTTCGGGTCCCGTTGCGTGCAGTACTTCACGTACTTTGTTCTTGAGTTTTGAAGAGGGAGGGCCGCCGTTGTTTCTTTGCGTGTACTTTGCGAGTAGAGAAGTAGGCGTCTCCGTACTATAGGGGAGTACCTGCTGGGAGTACACTTAGCACGGGATATTGTACAGGCTTGTAAGAGGAGTGTCAAACGGCGTGGATGACATCATGGGGGAAATCTTGTTGACTTAACTAAAGAAAAGGTGGACTCAACCAGCTTGGCTGTGCCCACAACGCCTGAACGCCAGCTGCAGCTACGCCTGAGCGCCGAACTTCCCGACCCTTCCGCCTTTCAGGCAGTCGCGCGTTGGGGTTCAATTCAATGGCGCAGCGTTGGTCTAGCGTTGGTTTCGTTGGCTTGCTTCGCATCAGGAAAGCTCGCAGGTTGCATTTTGGGGAAGCGCCGAAATGACGCTAGACTCGCGGCTTGACATGAGAGGGCGCAGTTGCTGCTCGGATGGCAATGAAATGGAATTACTCATGCGCGAGCCAGTGCTCTTAAAGCCAGCCAGGCTGGCTGTGCCCAGAGCTTTGTGAGCGTCCGGCTGCGCGAGTTTGATGCTAAGCTTTGCGGGGCCTGCCAGCTAAGCAGCTCTCAAAACTCACCTTTCTAAAGCTGCTTGGAATGAGTTTGTATTACTGCCACGAGTAGCTTTGGATGGCATCATGAGAATCGTGTTGCCTTGACTGGAGCAAAGCATGGAGCCGTCAGACGCTGGCAAGTTCAAGCTGGAGACTGTGGCCGGCAGACACAGTGCTGACCTGCGCACGTGCTCACAACAAATTTGGACTTTCGCCTTGCAACTGCACCGCAACTTCCAAGCGCTCACGCTTTCAAGGCGCGCGTTGGGAATGCATGAGCGGCGCAGTCTTTGTCGAGCATTTGCTTCAGTGGCTGGCTGCGCATCAGGGAAGTGTTGACTCGTAAGAGGTTACTTGGCATGGGATCTTTTCAAGCTTGCAGCAGGGGTGCTAGATTAGATCACAAGCCTGAGCTAGTTGGACACATCGCATAGTGTGGAGCCCGCCAGATCGGGCGCCGGTTGCCAAAGCCTCTGGCACACCCCATGACTGTGGTGGCTATACGTACTCTGTCTCCCCACTTTGGTTTCAATTTCGGCGGGAGTCGGTGTGCAAGGCGCTGCAGTCCCCTTCTGTGCATGGCTTGCCTGCCGTCGGCTACCTTTGAACTTTGATCGCCAGCCTCTCATGATGTTCCTGAGAGCCGCCGGCAGCTTGGCACATAAGTTCATAAGGGTTTCGGCGGCCCAGACCGCTGTTGGCAGACATTCTTGCGCTATGGAAACTTTTTGAGCATTTTGGGCATCACTGGCCTACTTCGCTCTTGCAGCTGAGGAGCAAGGAGTTCGCAGTTGGCCTCAGACTTGGCCTTGGAGCGATTCGGCTGGAGAGGGCACGCTTGATGAGCAGCCAGCCCCATGCCAAGGTCCAACAGATGGGAAACAATAAGCGACGGATATTTGTTATTTGTGTTGCCAACCAGGAGCATCGTGAGCAAAGGTCTGGCAAAAATTGGCTAAAACAAAGGGAGTCAGCGCACAGCCGAGAAGCCTCGGACAATCCTCAGTGCCAGATAGTGCCAGCATGCATTGCAGACGCGTTGCGAAATGCGTCGTGGAAAGCTGTGCACGATTTTTGAGAAGCTGATATTGCAAGATGGCTGACCTGCGGCTTGAAATGAGAGGGCGCAGGCACTTCTGGGATGGCAGTGATTTGGCATTACTCTTGCACGAGCCGCTGTTGTTGAAGCCAGCCCGCCTCGCAGCTTGACTTACGCAAAGCGTGGAGCTATCAAAGTCTACTAGCTTGTCTCTTGCCAGAACTTCGTGGCAAGTTCAAGCTCGAGACTGCCGTGGTTTGCAGACACAGTGCTGACTTGCATGCGCTCACATCAATTGAGTTGCACGCTTGCCTTGCGGGGCTGCAACTTCCCGCTCGCGTTTTCAACGCTGGCGCGCGTTGGGAATTCATGTAATGCTCTCTTCGTGCAGCATTTGCTTCAGGTTTCGAGACTGAGCTTTGACCAGTTCGGCTGTGGGCGGCTGTCTGGCACACCCGACGACTGTGGTGGCTACATACTATGTCTGTCCACGTTGTTTTCGCCAGGAGTCGCTGTGCAAGGCCACACTTGTATCCCCTTTGCACGGCTTGCTTGCCGTTTACCGTCCACGTTTGAAAGACTTGGATCGCCAGCCTCTGTTCCGGAGAGCGACCTCCATCCCCCAAGTTCACAGCCGCTGCCCCAAGGCGCTGTCGGAGATGACGGGTGCGAAGGTCCCAACGAACCTGACTGGCTCAAGCACCAAATTTGCCACTCGCCTTTGGAGGATCGATCTTTCACCTTGCTCTGTGAGGAGTTCACCCTTAGGCTGATGTTGCCACAAAAAATCTCCCACACCTGCGTTGCCCTTGGGAAGATTCGGCTGCAGATTTCACAATGAAGACATTTGGCGAACAAGCGACAGCTTCCCCAGAGGTGAAGCTAGCGCAAAGCTTGGGTGACTGGAGAAGCCTTCCCAGCCCTTCAGGCCCAACCGGTTTGGCTGTGGCCAGAACTTCACGGCAAGCTGCAGCTTGAGATGACTCATGACTTGACGGATAACGCATACTATACTTAGACCTTTTACGTTTGCTCTGCCTTGCAGCAACGGCAGCGCCGCAACGTCCAAGCGCTCACGCTTTCAAGGCGCGCGTTGAGAATGCATGAGCGACGCAGTCTTTGTCAAGCATAAGCAGCGCGCAGTGGCAGACATGTTGTGTTTGTGATGAGCTTACTAGGGTTAATTGCCAAACAAATTGTGGCCCTGTCCCCACAGACAATTGTAATTTGCGGGTTAGCGTGCCTACAATTTGCAATTCAGGGCAGCGGAAAAGGTGGCGTGCAAAATGGGGCATGCAAAGAATGTGCCATGCCCCTCTCCCTTTGCCCCTTGTACCGCCAAAGACAAACGAGCTAAAGCAGCACAAACTGCCATGCAGCAGTTCGTATCGCTTTGGATGCTCCTAAGACAAGCGTGTTTAAGCAATACAAGCTGGCGAAAGGTGTGCTTCTGATTCAAGGAGCCATTGCTTCCGAATTTTGCGCCCGGGTCCCCGAGTGGTGCTTCACCTTCCGTCATTTCTTTCGAGTAGAGCAGTAGGTGTCTCTGCAGGAATTGAGCACAGCTCGGCGCTCTTCTTGCAGCCGGCAGAACAACAACTTCCCGGCAACTGCGGTGCGCAGTGTTGCCAACATTTTCTGCTGTGCTGGCTTTGCTGGCAAGAGGTCGCTTATGACTTGAGCAATGCGCGGAGGCGTTGAACCCAACCGGCTTGGCTAGCTGCAGCAGTACTCGCATTTGGTTAGCGCAGACAGGTACGTGGGTCGACTTGGGCTCTTTGAATTCGACAAAGTTCTTTGCAAGCTGCCCCGTTGAGGGCTGAGGGCTGTGGGTTGGCTCTGCGGTTGCGTGAGTGCCGTAGCGCAGAAAAGGTTTATCCCCAGAAGGGAATCCCCTGTTTAAATGGCAGGGTAGTGTTTGGGGGACCTTTTTCTTGTATCACAGAAGTGGGCATTTCCCACAGCCCTGGTTTGCTTGGTTTGGTTCGACTTTGAACCGGCTCCAAGCCGTTACGTCACAGACGTGTTGTTGACCGGGCTCAAATTGTTCCGAAACTTAGCGTTTGACAGCGCAGCGCAGTGGCAAACGCATTTTCTTGGGATAGGCATCAACGAAATTTATTAGGGGCCAAAAAGCTTGTTTGGGATCAAACAGCACTTAGTAGGGATCAAACCAAATTTCTTCTCATTCCCATGGGGACAAGGAAGGAAGGAAGGCAGGAAGGAAGGAAGGAAGGCAGGAACGGATCAAGGAAGGAAGGAAAGAAGAAAACAGGTACAGGAAGGATATCTGAAACATTTTGAGAGGTTCTCAATCTAGTTTTTGGGAATCGGCGGATGCGCACTTTGTCGAATCACCACTTCTTCGATCATCATGGGGGGGGCTTCCCCCAACGCCCGTGCTGGTTTATAGAATGCTTACAGAGATGAACGCACCCTTTGTTGAATCACCACTTCTGGGGGGCTGCCCCCCCACCCCCCGCGGCTTTTTGAGTGTTCACAAAGATTGACGCACGCTTTGTTTCTTCGAACATCATGGGGGGGAGCTGCCGCCCCCCAACCGCCAGCGCATTTTTTTGGAAGGTTTTTCAGAGGTTACGCGCCCTTTTTTGAATCATCGTTTTTCGACCATATATGTTTGCAGAGTTCCCGTTGGGTCTCACGCAAACTGGTTTGGATTTCCTGCAGAAAGTTTATGGCCGTAGGCTCGTGGCCATTTCTGATGTCAGCCCACCTAAAATAGCTTCCGTAGCAGGGTTCCACAAGTGAAATTTGCGACGTCGTATTTTGCAGAGGTTTCTGGAGGTTGCCATAGACTTTCTCCTTTTGTCTCTCTTTCTCGCTTTCTCTTCTCCCTTTCTCCCTTTCTCGCTCTCTCTCTCTCTCTCGCTCTCTCGCTCTCTCGCTCTCTCTCTTTCTCTCTCTCTCGCTCTCGCTCTTTCGCTCTCTCGCTCTCTCCCTCTCTCTCTCTCTCTCTCTCTCTCTCTCTCTCTCTCTTTTTCTCCCCTGTTCACCATGTTTTTTGTTTTTAAATATTTTTCTTTCTCTTTATCCCTTGCGAAACTGCTGCGCTTGCCGCGGAATCTGTACTGTACCTTGCGACAGTGCTGAGCCTGCCGTGAAATCTGTCTCTGACCTTGCGAAAGTGCTGCGCCTGCCACAAAAAACCTGTACCTGACCCTACGCACGTGTTGCGCCTGCCACGAAATTTGTACCTGACCTTGTGATTTGTTTGAGCCTCGGCCTCTTTCATACAATTTTAGTAGGGCTACAAGGAAGCTTTTTTGACCCATAATATTATTTGATCTTCAGGAATATTTGTTTAATGCTTATAAGGTTTGTTTGATCCCTCACCGCATTTCCTTTGCGAGTAGCTGAAGTCCAACGATTGGGAATTAGGGACAGTGTGTTGACTGTTTCCGAGTGTTAGCAAAGTCACCAATTGGGGGTTGTTTCTCTTTGACCGCCGCTTCGTTTGATGGTAAACAACTGAGTCCAGAACTAGCATGCTTCAGACAGCTGCAGGGTTCAAAGCCTAGTTGGCGCCAAAGGTTTTGTCCATTTCTTGTTGCAACTCTGGTGGCGTAGTTCGTGATTGGGGAGCTATGGACCGCACAGTAGGCAGCAACAATCAAGATTCGGATACGTGAGCATTACGGGGAGTGTTGCCTAAGACAAGCGGGATGCAGTGCAAACTGACGAAAGGGGTGCGTTTGATTGAAGGAGTGGGTTGCGAATTTTAGGTCCCAGTGCGCGCGGTACTTGACAGCTTTCTGCTTTGGAGCGGGGCTGTTGTATCTTTCGAGTAGAGAAACCCCCAACGCTAGACGCCATGAGGTCCGGGTCCAAGCCGCGGTTTTTAGGCCCAAGGTTTTAGGAGCGACCCAATCGAGGCTGGTGTTCTTTCCCCCATCCGGATCCGAAACGGAAGCCCGTCAAAAGCCAGCATTTCGATGAAATCGGCCCCTCCCCTTTCTGACCATGTGCCTGGTTGAAAGTAAGGACTTGTGCTTGATGGACGTGAAACATCTCCCACCATGCGGCGCTTTGGGTTTTATGTGTTCTCAGTTTCGCGATCGGCTGATATATGTTCAGGTTTCTATTGGGCAGGTGAAGTGAACGATGCGGCTCCGTCTCAAAGTCTCGGCCCCGATGGTGACGCAGCTCTGTGCTGATTTGACAGTTTGGCTCAAGCCCATGTGCCATTAGGCTTTGCCATTTGGGTATGCTACACCTTGGCTGGGAGAGGTATGGGATCCATGCTGAAATGAAGAACTTCCTTGACTTAACCACCTAAGCACGCACCTATTGATTCAAGACATCCTTGCCCTGCGCATGGGCTGCAACGTGGATGTGCCAATCATCTTGGCTGAAGCACAGACTGAGTAAGTCCGCTGGCGCTCGGTGATTTCCCACGTTCGCCCGAAAGAGAGATTCCCATCACGGGATGACCTCGCTTCCTGAGCTCCTGGACTTTAAGTCTTTGCGGGAAGACAATTTGAGTGGCAAACTAACAGTTTGGACTTTTTGGCCAACCCACGCAGGAAATGAGGGATAAGTTGCGAGGCTGGCCGAATCCTGAAAAAACTCAGCAGTTATGCCTTCAAGGCTGGCATGCGCTGGGATAAATTAAAGTCAAGCGTGCAGCCTTGGACTAGGAATTGCTTCAGTGATTGGCTTCGCATTGCAAGAGGTTGCTTGGCATAGGATATGTGTGTCGGATGGCACCATGAGGGGCATCATGTTTCCTTGAGCAAGGCATGGAGCGTTCGACCCAACCAGCTTGGCTGTGCCCAGAACGCGGCGGCAAGCTGCTGCCAAAACCATTTAAGTTGGACGACTTGCTTTGCAGCACCGTAAGCTTGCGATAGTTTGTGTCAACTTGCGGCGTCCTGCGTCGATTTTGGCAACATCGTCAAGTCAAGCGTGCAGTCTTGGTCTAAGCATTTGCTTCAGTGGTTGGCTTCGCATCAAGGTAGCTCGCAAGAGGCAGAGGGTACTTGGAATTGGATATGTTCAGGCCTGAAAAGGCTTAGCAATTGTGCCTTCAAGGCTGGCATGAAAAGGCTTAGCAATTGTGCCTTCAAGGCTGGCATGCGCTAACATTCGGGTCAAGGATGCAGTCTTGGTCTAGAATTTGTTTCTGTGGCTAGATGTGCTCGCAAGAGGTTGGTTAGCATGGGATATCTTCAGGCTCAAAAAAGGAGTGTTAGATGTCATAAGGAGCATGATGTTGCCTTGACTTAAGCAAAGCACAGAGCCGTTGGACTTAACCAGCTTGGCGCCCACAACGCCGCAAGCTTCAGACTGCTCCCATGGCTGCTTGACGCAGGAGTGCTGGTCTGCGCATGCGTTCACACCTTTTCAGTTGGACGCCTTGCCTCGCCGCGCCGTCAGACTGGCAACTTTCCAGCAACTGTGCCTTCAGGGCTGGCACGCGTTTGGAATTGCTGCAGGTACGCAGTGTTGGCCAACCATTTGCTTCAGTGGCTGGCTTCACATCGTGGTAGCTCGCAACAGCTTGCTCGCTTTGTATGCATCAGTGTTGCCGAAGACAAGCGCGATTCGGCAGCACAAGCCGGCGAAGGGCGTGGGAGAAGAGAGTGGGCGTCTCTGTAGAAGCAAGGGCGACATTTCCCTCAAACGGAAGTCCTGTCTGGCATATTTGGAGCAAACCGTGGCGATGTTGGACCCAACCAGCTTGGTTGTGTTCAGAACGCCGCAGCAAGCTTCAGAAGTGGGCGTCTCTGTGGATCCGAGGTTTCGGGAAGGGGCGTGGGTGAGGATTTCCGGCACGGAATTTCGACAAGGTTTTTTTGGCGGGTTAGGCAAAAACTGCGCGTGATAGCAGGAGTTGATTCGGAACTTCGAATAAGGGTTCTGCGGAAGCGTTTTGATACTTGTTGAGTTTGCGCCACAGCTTCGAGGAACCCTTCGAAGATCACTTTTGCGGAACCCTCCCAAGAACCCTTTTCTTCTCGAGGTCCGCGGTAAAGCTGTCCAGGCAGCCCACCCCCTGTCTCGCTTATCCAGTTGCCTGGAGCAAAGCGCGGCGTTGGACCCGTACGGCTCGGCTGTGCCAAGAATGCTTCGGAAAGCTGCAGCTTCCGACTGTGGCTGGCAGGCGCTGAGCTCGAGCCGTTTGAGGACGACTTGCTTTGCAGCGCCGAAGCTGCAACTTCCCAGGAGTGCTTTCAAGGCTGGCAGGGCATGTGCTGTGGCTGGCTTCGCGTCAAGGTAGCTCGCAAAGGCTTGCCTGGAATGGGATGTGCTCAACCCCTTCGCTGAGGAATACGCGCGTTCAACTACTTGCAACTCGCAAATCAGGACAGCGCGACGCAGAAGGCGGGAAAGGTGGGGCAAACAAAGAATAGTAGTTGCGCACGCCGCGCCCCTCGCCCTGAACGCCGCAGCAAGCAGCTTCAGACTGCTACTACGGCTAGACGCAGGACTGCTAGCCTGCATGTGCGCTCAGACCTATTGAGTTGGCCAGCTTGCCTTGCAGCGCTCGCGCAGCGGCAACTTCCCAGCAACTAGGCGGACAAAAAGCACCTTCGCTGTTCCCAGAACGCTGCGACAAGCTGTAGCTTCAGACTGCTATTGTGGTTGACAGACGGTGCTCACCCCTTTTGAGTTGGACGCCTTGCCTTGCAGCTCCTGCAGAGCAGCAACTTTCCTGCAACTATGCTTTTAAGGCTGGCACGCGTCTGGATTTGCTTCAGGGATGCAGTGTTAGTCGAGCATTGGCTTCTTTGGCCGGCTTTGTTGTCAAGAGGTTGCTTGGAATGGAATAACGGCAGGAGGCGTGTTAGATGTCATAAGCATCAGGATGTTGCCTTGACTTGAGCAGAGCACGGAGCCGTTGGCCCCAACCGGCTTGGCTGTGCCCATGATACTGCGGCAAGCTGCAGCTTCAGACTGCCACTGTGGTTGGCAGACGCAGAGCTCGCACCTTTTGTGCTTTGCAGCACCGGTAGAGCAGCAACTTCCCAGCCACGTGCCTTTCAAGGCTGGGCACGTGTCAGGATTTGCTTCAGGTACGCAGTCTTGGTTTGGCATTTGCTTCGGTGGCTGGCTTCACATCAAGGTAGCTCGCAAAAGCTTGCTTGGAATGCGATGTGCTCAATCCCTTTACTTGCTTCTGCCTATTATGCTGGGGCCCCATCCCCTCCGAATATGGTCAATTGCAACTGGCCAAGATGGGGCGCGCAAAAGATGAAAGATGCGCGTGCCCTGCCCCCCTCGCCCTTTGGCACAGACCAGCGAGCAGTACAAGCTGCCACGCAGCAGTTCGTGTCGCTTTGGATGCTGCACCGCCTTACCTTGCGGCGCCAGCAGAGCCGCAACTTCCCAGCAACGGCAGTCGCACCACATTTGCTTGAGTGGGTGACAGGCTTGGAATAGGATTTTTTGTCTATGCTTGCTGGATGAGTGTTGCATGGCACGAGGGGCACCACGTTGCCTTCAAGGCATGGAGTTGGACCCAGTCTGCTCGGCTGGTACCCAGCTCCGGACTACGGCCAGACACCTTGCCTGCGCCCTCGGAACCGCAGCTTCCAGGCAACGACTTCAAGACACGGAGCCGTTGGAGCCGAAGAACGTGGCTGCGCCCAGAAAAAGACCTTTGCAAGCTGCAGCTTCAGACTTCTCGTCTTGGTAGCGCAGCAAGCTGACCACTTGAGTCGGAAGCTTTGTGTAGCAGCGGAGTTTACTTCAATGGCGCAGTTCTGGTCTAGCAATTGCTTCAGCTGGCGTCGCATCAGTGAAGCTTGCAGCAGGTTACATTCTGGAGAAGCGCCGAAATGTCGCTCGACCTGCGGCTTGAAATGAGAAGGCGCAGTTGCTGCTTGGATGACAGTGATGTGGAATTCGTCTGCGAGCCGGTGTTGTTAAAGCCTGCCGGCCTGGCTGGGCTCACTTTCGCGTTTGATGCTTTGCCTCGCAATGGCAGCGACGCAGCTTCCCAGCCAAGCTGCTTGCTGCTTGTGCAGTGCGAAGGCTGGAGGAAGCTGTTCTTCGACAATTGCCTGCGCTTCTTCTCGCTTGGATGTCCCAGCCCTTGCGCTTTCAAGGCTGGCGCAGGATGAGGCGCAATTCAATGTGCAGTTTTGCTTTAAATTAACATTTGCTTTACTCGCATCAAGAAAGCTTGCAGGAGTTTGCGTTTTGAGCTGCTCGGATGGCAGTGATTTGCAATGACTTTTCCATTCGCCATTGTTGTTGAAGCCGGCCGGCCTGGCTGTCAGAGCTTGGTGGATTTCTGGCTGCGCGAGTTCGACGCTGATCCTTGCGGAGCCTGCCAGCCGCTTCAAGGCTGAGACTCGCCTCAGCGATCGCACCTGTTCCGAGGCTGCTTGGAATGAGGTGGTGTTACGTAGCTGTCAGGAGTAGCAATAGATGGCATCATGAGGATCGTGATGTTGACTTATGAGCAAAGCATGGAGCCGTCAGACTCGACCAGCTTTCCTTGCCCAGAGCTTCGTGGCAAGTTCAAGCTCGAGACTGCTGTGGTTCACATACACAGCCCTGCTGGCCAGCCCAGTTGCTCAGACCTTTTGGAGTTGGACGCTTACCTTGCAACGGCAACGCCCTGACTCACTGCACCGACTCCTTTTGCTTTCCGCCACTCTCGGCCCCGGTCTGAGCTTAGCCGACGCAAGCCAGAGCTGTGCCGGAAGAATGTGCCCTGAAAGGGCATGCGGAAGAAGGTAGGTGTTCCTCCATGCTGCTTTGTAAGCTCGCGCCCATGTCGCACGCGCGACTTTGTTTCAATTAATGCGGCTTGACTTAAGCGAAGCGTGTATGAGCAGCGTTCAAAACCCCGATGAAAGAAGTTAGTAAAGGTGTTGTCCTGCAAGTTGCTGCGCGAAAGGAAGACACAGGTCCGCGAGAGCTTCGCGAAAGGGCCGCCAGGAATCATGTTCGCGAAAGGGGCCGCGAAAGGCCGATTTTGAACACTGGCTTGCTTGCTGACTCGTCCGCGAAAGCTCCGCGAAAGGCGAAAGGGTTGCTTGGCCCAATGTGCCCCGCGAGAGGAAAACCGCGGAGCTCGCACGATTCGCACGCCGCGAAAGGGTTCGCGAAGGCAGACGTGGAATATAACATCGTGGAAACCAGGTTTTGACCTCTCATACGGGCCAAAACAATTTGGCTCCCAAAACTTCGCGGCATGCGGCTTGAGATTGCTCGTGCTGGCGCGCTAGCAGTGCTTCGAGCTTTTGCGTTTGCTTGGCCTTGCAGCACTGCAAGCTGCAGTGCTTCGGCGCTTGCTTGGGCTTCTTCCTACTTGGATGTTCCAGCCCTTGCGCTCTCAGGGCTGGCGCAGGTTGAGGTTCAATTCAATGCGCAGTTTTGCTTTACCATTTGCTTTACTGGCTGGCTTCGCAGACGCTTGCCTTGCAGCACCGGCAGCGTCACAACTTCCCAGCGCTTGGCTTTTAATTCTGGCGGGCGTTGGGAATTGATGTAAGAACGCATTTGTTTTCTGGCATTTGCTTCGGTGCCGTCACAATGGAATTTGTTCAAGCTTGCTGCAGGAATGCTAAATTACATCCCAAGCCTGAGCTAGTTGGACGCATTGCGTGGTGTGGAGCCCGCCAGCTTCGTCGATTGCCGTTGTGCGCCTCGTGCCGTAGGCTACCTGTGCAAAGCTTTCTCATGTCGTTGCCGAGAACGGCCTGGGCATTCCCCGTAAATTGACAGCCTGCGTTGATTCTTCAACATGCCGGAGATGCCGCAAGCGGGTGCGAAGGTCCTGGCAGCTTGACCAGATGTTTTCTGCCTCCAACTCGGCTGGAAAGTAATCTATCTGATTTGTGTGAGTGCCGCAGAGCCGAGCAGGGACACATCCGTAAATTCGAGGAGAGCGAGCAGGGAAGGGGGTGAGGGAGGGAGTGAATCGGAAAGTGTTCTTTGTTAGCTTATCTTCGGTTGCTGCGGGCTTGTTTCGAAGGCTGTGTTGCACACAGTGGAGCTCCAAGAATTGAATTGACACTGCAATTTGGCATAAGAACGCGGTGCTCAAGTCTGGCCAGTCTTGTCGGTGCAAGTCTGGCTGGCACGCCACCATTAGCCGTTTTTCGAAACAACGCCACGCGCCGACTGGCCACCCCCCGCCCAAACCAGTCTATGGAAATTCACGGGGAAGTCGGTGTAACAGTTGGGTTTCGCTTTGGGTAGCCCCTAAACCCTAATCCCTTACGTTGCAGCCGGCAGAACCGCAACTTCCCGGCAATGAAGCAATCTTGGTGCCGCATTTTCTTGACTGCCTGGAAACAGGTTGCTTGGAATGGGTATGTTTATGCTTGCTGGATGAGTCGCTGGATGAGTGTTGGATGGCACCACGGGGGGCATCATGTTGCCTTGAGCAGAGCATGGAACCGTTGGACCCAGCCTGCTCGGCTCTACCCGAGCCTCGTAGCAAGCTTCTCCCTCGGCCGCACTCTGTGGCTACGATCGATTTCAAGGCCTGCGCACGTGTGAGATTGACTTCAAAGATTGTCAGTACTTGAGCATTTGCTTCAGTGGCTGGCTTCACATCAAGGTAGCTCGCAAGCTGCTTCTGCCTAATATGCTGGGGTCCCGCACAAGAACGGTGGTTCGGGGAGAAGCGCACCTTCAACTCCACTCCCAAGTCAGGACAGGCCGGTAAGTCTAAGGCCAGCTGGAAGCCGCACAAGCTGGCGAAGGGCATGCTCCTGATTAAAAGATGTTTCCGAATTTTATCCCTTCGGGTCCCGTTGCGCGCAGTACTTCACGTACTATGTTCTTGAGTCTTGAAGAGGGAGGGCTGCTGTTGTATCTTTGCCTGTACTTGGCGAGCAGAGAAGTGGCGTCTCTGTACTATCTCCCTCACATCGGAGTACTGGCTGGCAGGGCATAACTGAAGGAAAGGTGGCTGAGACAACTTCGTGTGTGGTTGGCGCACACCACGCGAGCTGACCGCCGGCGGAGCCGGAACCTCCCCACCACCCCGCCTAGGCAGTGCGTTGGGGTACAACTCAATGGCACAGCATTGGTCTAGCGTTGGGCTTCGGTGACTGGCTTCATCAGGAAGGCTCGCAGGTTACATTTTGTTGAGCCGACATGACGCTAGACTCGCGGTTGGAAATGAGAGGGCGCAGTTGCGCTTCTGGGATGGCAGTGATGAAAAATATTGCGCGAGTGCCCACGGCTTTGTGAATGTCCGGCGAGCCAAGCTGTCAAAGGCTGAGACTCACATTTCTAAAGCTGCTTGGAATGAGGTAAGCTGCGAGGAAAAGCAAGAGATGGCATCATGAAGTTCGTGGCAAGAAGCTCGAGACTGTGATTGGCAGTCACAGTGCCGACTTGCGCACGCGCTCAGGGTTTGCCTCGCAACTGCGTCGCAACTTCCAAGCGCTCACGCTATCAAGCCGCGCGTTGGGAATTCGTGAGCGACGCAGTCTTTGTCTAGCATTTGCTTATGCTGGCTTCGCATCAAGGAAGTGTTGACTCCTGAGAGGTTACGTGGCATGGGATCTTGTCAAGCTTGCAGCAGAGTGCTAGATTGCATCACAAGCCTGAGCTAGTAGGACACATCACATTGGGGAGCTCATTGGTTTGGTTGTTGGTTCCCCTGGCGCACCCAATCACTGTGGTGGCTATACATGGACAATGTCTCGCTGTGATTTCAATTTCGGCAGGTCGGTGCAGCCACTCCAAACCCCTTAACCCCTTCTTTGCATGGCTTGCGTGCCGTCGGACACAGTTGAAATTTGGTCTCCAGCCTCTCATGTTGTTCCGGAGAGCGGCCTGGGGCAGAATTCTGACAGCCCAGGTACAGCTTGGCACATAAGTTCATAAGGGTGTTGGCGCAGACCGCTGTTGGCAGACACCGTGATTCCGCAACTTTTCTGGCTTTGCTCGCATTCACCGGCACGCCCGCATCTTCCTAGTTGTTGTGCTATGCTTTTGATCATTTTGGGCATCACTGGCCTTCGCTCTTGCAGCTGGGCAGCGAGGAGTTCGCTTGCCTCAGACTTGGCTTTGGAGCGATTCGGCTGGAGAGGGCACGTTTGATGAGAGCGACATGCGCCGCCTTGGGGTTCAACTCTCCGAGTTGGGTTGCTTGCTGGCCTCGGCTGGTTGCAGGAACCCTCAAAAACGAGCTAGCTCGCCGAGTTAGGTTGAGGTCTGTTGTGGAATCGGCTTGCAGCAATCTCAGTCCGTGCTCCTGGCTTTCCCGAGCCAGACCCTTGTGTTTCTGAAAGAAGAGGGTCTCTTACAAGCAGCCTCTCAAAGACTTTGGCGGTGCCTCCCCGTGCCCAGCCGCCATCCGCTGGCCCCAAAGGGCCCCTAGAAGCAACCCCCAGCCGATACTGATACAAATCGTTATGATTCCAAACGATTTCCAGCGATAGTGCTCGATACGATTTGAGGTTGCGATACCTGCTTTTCGATACCGATAGCTCGCAACACGCAACGATACACTTCGGCATGTTGTATTTGTATTGTTGAAACGGCCCTGTTTTGTTGCCTCCAACTCAACTGGACGGTAGAATCTGATTTGCGTGAGTGCCGCAGCGCAGAAAAAGGACACATCCGTAAATTCGGATTCGAGGAGAGCGAGCAAGGGAGGGGCGAGGGAGGGAGTGAATCGAGCTTTGTTAGTTTATCGTCGGATGTGGCAGACTTGCAATTGAAGCTGTTGTGTTGCACACAGCTTTCAGTTGGCATGTTCCCAAGCCTTGCTTGACACTGCGATTTGGTACAAGTGCGCTGTCTTTGTGCTGAACTCAAGTCTAGCCAGTCATTTGGACAAAGTGTCGGGTTCAAGTCTGGCTGCCGTACCGTCGTTTCGAGACTTGCATTCAATTTGGTTGCCAAGTTTGTTGCCCCCCGCCTCCCCCGCCCCCCCAACCCCTACGCAGGCGTTGTTTCGTCGTGCCGCCCCCCCAACCCCCTGCAGCTTTTTAGAACGTTTACCAAGATTAACGCACGCTTTGTTGAATCATCTCTTCTTCAGTTAAACTTTTGCAGAGTTTCCGATGTAACATTCTGACTGGCTGTTGGGTCTCACGCAAAGTTATTTGGATTTTCTGCGAAAAAATTATGGACGTAGACTCGTGGCCATGTCTAATGTTAGCCAACCTAAAGTTAGCTTCCGAAGCAGGCTTCCACAAGTCAATTCTGCGACGTTGTCTTTTGCAAAGGTTTCTCGAGGTTGCAATAGACTTTCTCCTTCTGTCTCTCTTTCTTTCTTTCTTTTTCTGTCTCCCTTGCTCTCTCTCGCTCTTGCTCTCTCTCTCTCGCTCTCTCTCTTTCTTTCTTTCTTTCTTTCTTTCTTTCTTTCTTTCTTTCTTTCTTTCTTTCTTTCTTTCTTTCTTTCTTTCTGTTTGTCTTTCTTTCTTCTTCTTTTTCTTCTTTTTCTTGCTTTCTCTCTCTCTCTGTCTGTCTCTCTTTCTCTCTCTTACTTTCTCCCTTAGTCTCTTTGTGTCTTTCTCTCTTTCTCTCTGTCTTTCTTTCCCTCTCTCTCTCTTTCTCTTTCCCTCTCTCTCTCTTTCTCTTTCCCTCTCTCTCTCTCTCTTTTCCCCTTTTCTCCATGTTCATTTCTCTTTAGCTTTCTCTTTCTCTTCATCGCTTGCCAAGTTCTGTGCCTGCCACGAAATCTTGTTCTGCACCTTGCGAAAGTGCTGCGCTTGCCGCAAAGTCTGTACCGTACCTTGCGAAACTGCCGCGCGTGCCGCGAAATCTGTACCGTACCCTGCGAAAGTGCTGCCCTTGCCGCGACATCTGTACCGTACCTTGCGAAAGTGTTGTGACTGCCACGAAATCTGTCTCTGACCTTGCGAAAGTGCTGCGCCTGCCACAAGAAAACCTGTACCTGACCTTGCGACAGTGTTGCGCCTGCCACGAAATCTGTACCTGACCTTGTGAAAGTGTTTTTTGATCCTATTTCTTTGAATTGTAAATAGTAAGTCTACGAAGATTTTTTCGACCCGTAATGTGTGTTGATCTTCAGGAATATTTTGTTTGATGCCTTTAAAGTTTGTTTGATCCCTCACCGCATTTTCTTTGCGGTTAGCTGACGTCAGCGATTAGGGACAGTACTTTGACTCTTTCCAAGTGTTAGCAAAGTCAGTGTTCTCTTTGACCGCCACTTCGGTTGATGGTAGACAATTGAGGCCAGAACTAGCACCGACAGAACAGGTGCAGGGTTCAAAGTCTAGTTGGCGCCCAAGGCTTTTGTCCATTTCTTGTTGCACTTTGGTAGTTGTAGTTCGTGATTGGGAAGCTATGGGCCACACGGTAGGCAGCAACAGTGAAGATCCGGATAAGTGAGCATTATGGGCCAGTCCGCGCCATGATCTTTCCGTTGACTCACCCGTTGAGCTCCAGGTTTTCATGTTGACTCAGTGACTGTCGGTAGCCCTTGTCTTTTCGTTGTCAGGTTGCGCAGCATCCGCTGAAGCGACCCACAGGACAACAAGTTGCCAGGGGGACAAAATC